ATTTGAATTTGTCTTATTTTATTAGGTAGATGGGGGAGATGGGAGTTAAAAATTCATATGAAACAACAACTCTATCCATTTTTCCAAAATGGAAGTTAAATAAAATCATTACAATAGTAATAAATATTAATTTTTAAAACTGAATCTATTTTTACAGAGAACTTTAATTACAGAATTACTTAATCCAGGTCCTAAATTTCAAATCCATTGGAAATCACTCAACAACTCTGAGGCAAAATCAGAACCTTGTTTAAATCATCCATTAATTTAGTTCTCCATTTCACTGCATATGTAGAAAGGGTGCCTGTGGGAACCACTGCTAAGTCATAAAATATTAAGCGACATCAGTGTTCAGAAGTTACGTGTCACAAATGTGTTTCCCTTGGCTTCTAAACTGATTTTCCAGTTGGGACATCTCAGACTTCCTCTTCGAATTACTACTTTGCCCTGTCATGGCACAGTGCTTCATGTTGTTGTCAGACAGAAACTGTTATAGCCACGTACTTTAAGTAAAGGTAAACATACTCTTGGAAGCATTTCTCTTTGAATCTTTCTACAAAATGCAGGCATTCTACAATTTCAGACATCATCTTCACTGACAGATCTTCCTTTGAAATATAACCTTTGTAATTAATATAGTGTTAGATATTTTTGAAGCATTCCCAATTATTTTAGATTTTAAAGGAACCTGCTGGATTTTGGCATGATCAGGCACTAAAGGAGCATAATACCAGCTTAGTTTTTTATTTTAGTCACAAAGGTGCTTTGATACTTTTTTTAATGTCAGAAATTCCTGAGAGGCTTTGAAAAATATTCCTCAGTTCTTTCAAGTAGGTTACGTTTCCTTGAAAGATTTAACTGAGCAGAAATCACACTGGTTCTACAGTGAGCCAAAAGCTGCAGAATGGTCCTGTACTTATTACTTTATCCTACTTTTAAATAAAAACCTCAAATCCCTGCGTTTTATAGACTGTCAAATGGCTTTCCGTTGGAAGAACTTCCATAATAAAAACTTGTAGCTTCAACCCCAGGTGCATCCGTGCTCCCGAGAGCAGCAAATCCCAGTACAAAAAGCCATAAAGTTCATGCTCAGTTGCATTTGATGAAGCACACACTAAAGTCCAAAGAAGAGTAACACGGTGCCTTCAGCCTGCTATCCAATTCCAGTCCACCCAGTGCCTTCCCTTAGCCTTTTGTGCAGTGGCTTTAGGAGAGAGATGAATGGGAAGGGAGTTGTTTTATCCGCATATCAGTGGTGGTAACCTAGTTATTAATTCATACGAAGCAGTGTTTACAGTGGGAGATTTTGTCTAGCATCTGCCATAAAAAGGCCATCTTTAAATAATTTATAAAAGAATCTACATTGATTCTTTTCATGGTTCTAGGAAAAAGCAACCAATATATGTTTTTTTAGTATGCTACATGTATTTGGCTCCTCAGTGACTATCAGAACAATACTGAGAATAGCTAATTGCTTTCCAGAAAGTCATGGGGAGGTAGAAAGAAGAAAATCTTCTGTATCATGTTTGCTTATTTTTACACTGGAGGCAGTTTAAAATGTTAATTATTCATGAGCTTTGCCCGCTGAGTTCCACTCAAAGCCAAGCAAAGGAATGAGAAGGAGTACAAGCGGAAAGCCACGTGAACACTCAGTCGTCTCTTTCCAAGACTACTTCTCCAGTTCCCACCAGAGATGCCTCCAGGTAGTCCCCTGCATGTTGTGAGAGGGCCAACCAAGGTTGTATAACATTTTAATGTGCTATATTTCTAGGAGTGTGCTGGCAGATACTCAAATCAGAACCTAGAAATTATGCGCGCTATTTTGAAGAAATCTTTGTCAACCATAGTAATTGACATCTGACTGTGTTTCATCTAGTGCTCCTTCATTGAATACAAGGATTTTAAGCTGATATATCGGCAGTATGCAGCTCTCTTCATTGTGGTTGGAGTTAATGATACTGAGGTAAGATAATAGAACAGCCTATGGAAAATGCAAGAAGATTAGGGATACCGGTCTGATTTTTGTTCCTCCTTAAATTGACATTTTCTTCCTACTTGCCTCCCCAAGAATTATTATGACTCTTTTGAAAGATCTTGGTTTCTGTCAAAGCTGGGGAAAGCTGTATGGTAGAGAAATACCTAGGATGCTTCTTGGAGTGAATGAGCAACTTGTGAGGTGGAGAAGAAGCACAAAACCACAGACTGTCTTCCTCTGTCCTAAGCAGCCTTAGTGCCCTGCCCGTGTTCTGCTGCACAGTGGGGCAGCTTAGTCAAGCATACAGGCCAGTCAGTTGTGGCATTAAACATGGGCTGACATATCAGAAGCCAAAGCAAAGTAAAAGTGTGATTGTGTTGTGATCACATCTCAGATTTAGTTCACCCCTTCAGAAATGTTAGTCCCAGATCAACAGCACATATGGCGGTGGAATCCCTGAAAGTGTTTCAGATCTAAAATACTTTGAAATCTCAGTCAATTGTTTTTTTATCCATGAACTGAACTTTGAGGTGGTTCCACTGTTCTCACAGATATGGAAAAATAGTGGCATGAAAAACCTGAAAAAATTGCTTCAGCCAATTGGTGTTGAAGTCAGGAAGTAGAGCTCAGAACTCTAAACACTAGACTCTAAAGTTTCAATTTGGCTAGATTCATCATGGGCTTTAAGAAAAAATCTTGGGGCTGGCCGGTTAGCTCACTTGGTTAGAGCATGGTATTGGTAACATCGAGGTCAAAAGTTCAGATCACCTTACCAGCCAGCCACCAAAAACAAAACAAAACAAAACAAAACTTAGAGGTTAAGATTTTCTACATTTCCTCTACTGATAAATGTCTCTTAAACAAGCGAGTAATAGAACTGCCCTGAGTATTTGTTAGTGGGAAGCTGCTTTACTCTCATTATGTGTTCACTAAGCCACATGCTCTAAAACCTGGGGGCTGACTGGGCAATTCTGTGTCTCATTGACATGAGGGCCATCCTAAAATGAATTGCACCCTTCCTCTTTATTTCAGAATGAGATGGCTATTTATGAATTCATCCATAACTTTGTGGAAGTTTTAGATGCATACTTCAGCCGAGTGGTAAGTATAATGGCAAAAAAATGGTTTTCTTCTTCAGCCCAGTTTCCCTGAAACTGAGTCTCATTGAGTCTATATAGCAAGAACATGTGTTAATATAGAGCTTTAAAATGTAAAAGTTAAAATTCACATGATGCCAAATTTTCTTTACCTTTCCTTCTGGCTCATCCAAAGTGTTACAAACCTAAGTATGTCTTAGATCTTTTTTTTTTTTTTTTTATAAAAAGATGACTGGTAAGGGGATCTTTACCCTTGACTTGGTGTTGTCAGCACCATGCTCACCCAGTGAGCTAACTGGCCATGCCTAATGGGATCTGAACCCGGGGCCTTGGTGTTATCAGCACCGCACTCTCCCGAGTGAGCCACGAGCCGGCCCATAAGTATGTCTTAGATCTTTATAAAGAACCTCTTTTTTTTTTTTCTCTCAGTTATGAGATTTTGCCCTCTAACTCACTCACTCTTTTCTTTTTTCCCTCTGCTTTCCTTCCTAAGACACCAGAAGACTTTTCACTTTAATAATCATTTCATCCAAACCCTTACTTTGAGAATCAAAAATAAACTCCCCTTAAAGAGTATGTGAGTTCCTTTCCAAGTCTTTCTTTTTTTTTTTTAAAAGCTGTATCAAAATATAACTTACATACCATAGAATTCACCCATTTAAAGTGTGTAATTATAACGCCATGGTCAAGGGTTTGGATCCCTGTACAAGCCAGCCACCAGTAAGATAAAGCATGTAATTAATTTTTAGTGTTTACATAGAATTGTACAAACCATCACCACAATAAATTTTAGGAAATTTTATCACCCATCAAAGAAACATGCTCATTAGCATTTCCCTACAGTTATTCTCCTCCATTCTTTCTAGAACCTTGGTTACCACTAATCTACTTTCTGTCTCTATACATTTGCGTGTTCTGGATATTTCATATAAATATAATTGTACAACATGTGGTCTTTTGTGACTAGTTTCTTTCACTTAGCATTAATGTTTTCAAGACCCATCCATGTTGTAGCATGTATCAGTAGTTGTCTCCTTTTACTGACAAATATTTTATGGTATGAATGTACCACATTTTTTTATCCATTCATCAGTTGATGGACATTTGGGTTATTTCCAACTTTGTAGCTATGAACGTTTGCATATACGTTTTTGTCTAGAACCATGTTTTCAGTTCTCTTGCGCATATACCTTGGAGTGGAAAAGCTGGGTGATAATGATAACTTTATGTTTAATATATATATATATATTTTTTTAAAGATGACCGGTAAGGGGATCTTAACCCTTGACTTGGTGTTGTCAGCACCATGCTCACCCAGTGAGTGAACCGGCCATCCCTATATGGGATCCGAACCCATGGCCTTGGTGTTATCAGCACCGCACTCTCCCGAGTGAGCCACAGGCCCGGCCCATGTTTAACATTTTGATAAACTGCCAAAATGTTTTCCAAAATGTCTGCATGATTTAAATTCCCACCAGCAGTGTATGAGGGTTCCAATTTCTCCACATCCTCACCAAAACTTAACTGTCTTTTTAATTATAGCCAATCTAGTGTGTGTGAACTAGTATAGAGGCCAATCGACTGTGGTTTTGATTTGTGTTTCACTAATGGATAAGGATGTTGAGCATCTTTTGATGTGTTTATTGTCCATTCGTATATCTTCTTGGGAGAAATGTCTGCTCAGATCCTTTGCCCATTTTTAAATTATATTATTTGTCTCTTTATTGTTGAGTTGCAAGAGTTCTTTATACACTATGAATAAAGAGTACTTTATTAGAGTTATGATTTGAAAATACTTTCTCCCGTTCAGTAGTTTTCTTTTCACTTTCTAGTGGCGCCCTATGAAGCACAATCATTTTTAATTTGATGAAATCCAATATTCAATTTCTTCTTTTATTGCTTATGTTTTTGATGTCATGTCTAAAAAGCTTTGTCTAACCTAAGGTCATGTAGATTTACTCCTGTGTTTTCTTTTTTGGGGTTTTTTTGTGGGTTTTTTTGCAGCTGGCCAGTACAGGAATGGAACCCTGGACATTGGTGTTTTAAACACCACACTTGAACCAACTGAGCTGCCTGACCAGCCCACTTCTATGTTTTCTTCCTAAAGTCTTATAGTTTTAGTTCCCACATTTAGGTCTTTGGTCCATTTTGAGTAATTTTTATATATGTTGTGAGGTACAGGTCTAACATCATTCTTTTGTATTTAGATATCCAGTTGTCCCAGTACCATTTGTTGAAAAGACAGTTTTTTACCCCCAGTAAATTGTCTTAGCACCCTTTTCGTAAATCAATTGACCACAAATGTAAGGGTTTAATTCTGGACTTGCAGTTCTGTTTCGTTGATCTCTATGCCTGCCCTTATCCCAGTACCACACTATCTTGATTTCTGTAGTTTTGCAGGAGGTTTGAAACCCAACAGTCTTTTAAAAGAGAATCATGGAGCCGGCCCGGTGGCGCACTGTGCTAGTGCGCCGCTTGGGAAGCGTGGCGGCGCTCCCGCCCGAGGGTTCGGATCCCACATGCAGACCGGTTCCCGCTCACTGGCTGAGCGAGGCACGGGGGCAGTGCTGAGGGTTGCGATCCCGTTGCCGGTCCCGGTCCGGTGCGGGGGCGACAGTGAGGGTTGCGATCCGTTGCCGGACACAGACAAAAAAAGACAAAAAAATAAAAAATAAAAATAAATAAATAAATAAAAGAGAATCAGTGAAGATATTTACTTTGCCCCATAGGCCTTCCCAAGCCTTGGTTAGGCATTCCTGAGAAGTAGCAGTGGCTCAAGCTTGTTATTTTTCTTTTTTTTGTTTGTTTTTGGTGGCTGGCTGGTACAGGAAGCTTATTATTTTTCAAAGTTGTTTTGTTTATTTCATTTTTCTTTCTTTAAAATAAAAGGATTAAGAAGGAACCATTCCCAAGCTTCATCTTCCTGAGGCAGTGAGTGGAATCTGCTCCATAATTAGTAATATTGAGCGCACTAAAACCTGCTAAGGGCAAAACTCATGCAGAAAGGATTAAGAAGGAACCATTCCCAAGCTTCATCTTCCTGAGGCAGTGAGTGTAATCTGCTCCATAATTAGTAATATTGAGCGCACTAAAACCTGCTAAGGGCAAAACTCATGCAAAGAAGTTACATGTTCAGCCCAGATCCTGATGCCAAAATGAAGTTTGACAAATTCCTTCTTCATAGGACAATCACTAGCCTGTCTTTATTGCCTTAGTGCAGTGGTTATCCAGGTCTGGTTCCTGGACCAGCACCAGAAGCTGGAAACTTTTTAGAAATACGAATTCTGGGCCCCACCCCAGATCATTGAATCAGTAACTCTGGGCCCTGCAATGTATGTTTTCACAAGCCTTCCAGGTGATTCTGATGCCGGCTTAAGTTTGAGAACCACTGCCTTAGTGCATGAAGCTTGCTGTCAGCCATTTCTTAATTCACTGGTTGGAGCTGGGAATATGCCTGCTGTGGTAGTGCATCTAGCCAGGAAGGGATCGGTGCCCTCCAAAGCTGGAAGAGATCAAGAGGTCAGGCCATGTCAGAGACCGGCCTTGAGGGGACGGAGGACATTGAGATTGGCTTTAAAAATCTGTCTCTGGGGCTGGCCCATTAGCTCACTTGGGAGAGTGTGGTGCCAGTAATACCAAGGTCAAGGGTTTGAAACCATTTACATGCCAGCTGCCAAAAAAACAAAAACAGGCAAACAAGAATGCTATCTCTGTGCTGATTGACTGAAGAGAGCACCATAGACCAGCACTGTCTAGAAAAATTTTCTGTAGTGACAGGAATGTTCTATACCTGTGCTGTCAATAGGGTAGGTACTAGCCACAGGTGGCTTTTGAGCACTTGAAATGTGGTTAGTAAAACTGAGAAAATGAAATTTTAATTTTATTTCATTTTAATTAGTTTAAATTCAGATCTCCACACGAGGCTGGTGGTTACCACATTGGACAGCACAGCTGTAGCTCCTGCTTATCTCGTGGTGACCCCTCACTTCTTAAGACAGACTGGTTGCAAGTCAGGGTCTGTGATTCCGAGCTGGCCGTGATTAGCCACTTTAAGGCAACACCCACCAAGAAGAATATAATTTCCCAAAATAACAATGTTTTAAACCTGGGAGAATAAAGAGTGGGTAGAAGCACTATCATTGCTAAGATTTTTACAATTATTATTATTATATTCAGTAACTGAGAATAAATAGCACGTTGCTGAATTAAAGCTGTAATTTTAGAGAGAGAGTCAGTGACCACGAAAACCGCAGAAGTAAAGATTAGAATTTAATTTAAGCCAGGTGATTATGCAGGACTTGGACCCTACTCAGGCATGACTCAGTTTAGGACCAAACCATAGCAAAAAGAAGAGGAAGAGAGAAGAGAGTCCTATGGGAAAGAAAATAGATTCTGTCCCACTCGCAGAGAATGCCTTGTCATCTAAGGTTTATTTTTAGGTTTGTGAGTTTTAAACATTCTTTCTGGAACTATTTTTAATCTTAGAGAGTTTCCAAATCTTAAATTTGGAAGATCAATCTCATGCCGTCTGGGCCAAGAGAAGCATCTCAGCATCCCATTTTCAAAACAGAAAAGCCAACCCAGTTAACTTCAAGGAGGCTGTTTTGCAAGAGGTGAGGGTGTTGCTGCTGAGGAAGTGGCACCAGGATTTTCAGTGCTGCATTTGACAAACCTTTAGTCCTTTCAGAACTAAACTTAATTCCGTTGACTTTTTTCTTCCTCTATGACTTTTTCATTACATAAAGATCTATTTTCATTGAAAAAAAATTTAAACACATGTAAACAAAAAGAAAGAAGAGGATGGATACAAGTCATTATACATTTGTCCAAACGCCTAGAATGTACAACACTAGAGTGAACTCTAATTTAAACTGTGGACTTTGGGTGTTAATGATTGGGACAATGTGGGCTCATCGGTTGTGACAAATGTACCACTTCTGTAGGAGGTGTTCATTGTAGGGGAGGCTATACATGTGTGGGGACAGGGAGTGTAAGGGATATCTTTATACCTGCATCTGGATTTTGCTATGAACCTAAAACTGCTGTAAAAAATTAAGTATTTTTTTTTAAGTGGGAGGAAGAAGATCATCAGTAAGCCTATTACTTATTGATAACTGACCTTTAGGTGCATTTCCTTTTGCACTTCATATATCTGTCTATACCCTCTATATTCATATATAACTATATATATATAACTATATATATATATATATACACACACACGCATACACATATACATGGGATAATCCTGTATATACCATTTTATAACTTGCTTTTGTATTTAACAATATGTTAGTACTTAAATGTCTACATCATCATTTGTGGTTATTCTGTAATTTACTTAACTAGTCCCCCCTTGACAGATACTTAGGTTATTATCAATAATTTGCTATTACAAACAACATCACCCTGAGCATCTTATCATATGTCATCGTGCCATTGTCCAATTATTTTCTTAGAATAAACTTCTAGAAGTAAAATCAATGAATTCACAAGGTATGGCACATTGTTAAGGTTTCTGATACACATATCAAATTACCTACTGTCTGTAAAGACTGAGTTAGTTTGTTATTTTCTCTCCTTTCCAATGATGAAATTCTCTGGCTTGTAAAATTTCTCTAAACTTGAAGCCTTTTTTTAAGTCACAATCCCGAACTCAGGGCCTTCCCACTCTCAGGCTTCTGCATAAATAGCAGCAGACTTTCCTATCTTGGAAAAGACTGAGTTAGTTTGTTATTTTCTCTCCTTTCCAATGATGAAATTCTCTGGCTTGTAAAATTTCTCTAACCTTGAAGCCTTTTTTTAAGTCACAATCCCAAACTCAGGGCCTTCCCACTCTCAGGCTTCTGCATAAATAGCAGCAGACTTTCCTATCTTGGAGACCAGAACAGTTGCTAACTCTGCTAAAAGCATCATCTCCCAGTGTCTCATTCTCACCCTTGCACTCTTTTTTTCTTTTCCAGAGTGAATTAGATGTATCCTTTTTCAATACCGTTTCCCACAGTACTTGGCAAAGCACACTCTAGTCATAATCAGGTAAGTGCCAAGGGGCAGGAAAACAATTCAGCAGAATGTTAATCACCAACAGCTATGAGAAGACAGCCAGGTATTTTGCAGACATTCTCCCCCTCCCTTTTTTATAAAGACAATTCTTATTAAGATTTTTTATTTTTTCAGACAGGGCAATGCTATGGTAGTACCTGCAGTTAGTAATAACTATTATATATAAATTTAACTTATTTTAAGTATATGGAATAGGCTTTTTCAAAATTTAAATAACAGCCAGAAAGTGCTTGGTCCTCCTAGAGATACTGGATTTTCAGGGCTCCAGGTATAAATCTCCAGAAATCCCAGCATAATCAGAATAAGNTTCACAAGGTATGGCACATTGTTAAGGTTTCTGATACACATATCAAATTACCTACTGTCTGTTATTTTCTCTCCTTTCCAATGATGAAATTCTCTGGCTTGTAAAATTTCTCTAAACTTGAAGCCTTTTTTTAAGTCACAATCCCGAACTCAGGGCCTTCCCACTCTCAGGCTTCTGCATAAATAGCAGCAGACTTTCCTATCTTGGAGACCAGAACAGTTGCTAACTCTGCTAAAAGCATCATCTCCCAGTGTCTCATTCTCACCCTTGCACTCTTTTTTTCTTTTCCAGAGTGAATTAGATGTATCCTTTTTCAATACCGTTTCCCACAGTACTTGGCAAAGCACACTCTAGTCATAATCAGGTAAGTGCCAAGGGGCAGGAAAACAATTCAGCAGAATGTTAATCACCAACAGCTATGAGAAGACAGCCAGGTATTTTGCAGACATTCTCCCCCTCCCTTTTTTATAAAGACAATTCTTATTAAGATTTTTTATTTTTTCAGACAGGGCAATGCTATGGTAGTACCTGCAGTTAGTAATAACTATTATATATAAATTTAACTTATTTTAAGTATATGGAATAGGCTTTTTCAAAATTTAAATAACAGCCAGAAAGTGCTTGGTCCTCCTAGAGATACTGGATTTTCAGGGCTCCAGGTATAAATCTCCAGAAATCCCAGCATAATCAGAATAAGACCTTCAGGTTGATGAGCTGGAAGGTTAAAGAAATTGCCTGGCTTGTGCTCATTTCCTTTTATAGCAGAGAAAGCTCTCCTTTTCTTCTTTTTCTCCCTTTTAAATCAAAGTATCCAAGGACCCCAACAATAAGTATGATTTGTTTAGAATACTGCAAGCCTATAGATTTTGGTAGGAGCCCACTAGGCTTTGTGTGAGTGCTCTGGAGGCAAGCTGACTTTTAATTTTTTACTTCCAAAATCTGCCTACCACTTGAAAGCAATAAAGAAAGGAGTCCTTTGAGAACACATCAGGTTTGAATCTAAAGTAGTAATATTAATTATTGCAAATATGTATTAATATATATAAAATTTACTTAGTACATAACAAATATATATGAATTATAACAAATATGTTTATATACATATATATACATATATTTGTGTGTGTATATGTATGAATATATGTGTGTGTGTATTAGACATCTATGCCCAGAACCAGTATATTTACATCATCTTAATATTCTGGGGAAATAGCCATTTACCTGTTTCTATTAATAGAAAATTTCATAATGTTGATAAAACTCATTTGCAGGCAGTATTTGGAAGCCTCGTTAAATTAACTGGGAAATAGGCCGGCCCGTGGCTCACTCGGTAGAGTGCGGTGCTGATAACACCAAGGTCATGGGTTTGGATCCCATATAGGGATGGCCGGTTCGCTCACTGGCTGAGCGTGGTGCTGACAACACCACGCCAAGGGTTGAGATCCCCTTACCGGTCATCTTTAAAAAATAAATTAATTAATTAATTAATTAAATAAATAAATTAACTGGGAAAATCTGAGTGCCCTCTGGTGGTGAGTGACCTAAATCCCTTTGACCTAGGAGACCCAAGACCAGGCTGTATATTAGTATATATTTTTATTCAGCATGTTATAATTCTATTTTAATTAAGCCCTTTAAAGCAATTGAAAATAAATCTCTTCCTATTTGTGCAATGGAGTACAAAAAAAAAAACAACCTCTTGATTTAAAAAGTTCTCCAGAGATAGCAAGAGCTTCTAGGCACTTTGCTGGGATACAGAAACTCAAGTTCCACTTTTGGTCTTACCACTAACTGGCACACCATTTCCTCTCAGAATGAGAGAATTAGAACAGAAGAGCTTTTACACCCTCTCAGCTATCATACTTGCTGTTGCTATGACTCTAGGTAACTGAGCTGAGTTTCCTAACACCTAAACTAGGAAGAGAGTCTTACAAGTCTAGATATCCAGAGAATTAAAGTGAATCAGGGCTGGCCTGTTAGCTCAGTTAATTAGAACATGGTGCTGATAACACCAAGGTCGAGGGTTCTATCCCTGTACCAGCTATCCGCCACAAAAGAATAAAATAAAAAAATGAAAATAAAGTGAATCAGATGTGACAGGATATGTATTACAGCTGGATTAGTTGTGTTGCTGTGTCATATATTGACTAGATGTTTATTAGGGTAGAGACACGTGTACTTGTCTTTGTATCCCTCTGGTTTATAGCATAGGTCTATGTAATGAGCTCCAGCATTTTTGTTTGAATTTAATTTCCATACACAATTTGTATCTTCTCCCCTTATTTTACCTGGCTTCATTTTTGCCTCCCCCGCATCTCTGAAAGTTATATTTTTTTGTCTTTTTCGTGACCGGTAAGGGGATCACAACCCTTGGTGTGGTGTCGCCCACACCACGCTCAGCCAGTGAGTGCACCGGCCATCCCTATATAGGATCCGAACACGCAGCAGGAGTGTTGCTGCACTCCCAGCACTGCACTCTCCCGAGTGCGCCACAGGTCGGCCCCTGAAAGTTATATTTTTACTGCCCTTAGAAATTACTTAGGCAGGGCCGGCCCCATGGTGCACTCGGAAGAGTGCGGCACTCCCACCGCAGGTTCGGATCCTATATAGGGATGGCCAGTGCGCTCACTGGCTGAGCGGGGTGCGGGTGACACCAAGCCAAGGGTTGCAATCCCCTTACCGGTCACAAAAAAAGAAAAAAAAAAAAAAAGAAATTACTTAGGCATATCCATCTGACAGATAGGAATTTGACATCATTTAAAGAAGGGAACTAAACATCTCCAGCCCTGGAAGTTGGTGTCTTTGCTCTAGGTATAATTTCATGTGCACCTCCAGTGGCCCAACAGTGGAGCAGGTGGCAGGCCAGGGCATGGGGCACCTCTCCTCTATTGATATTCCTAAAAGGTCACCACCCTCAGCTACCTGAAAAAAAACAAAATAAAAAACCCATGACTCTCCTCTGCTTCATACATAATACTTTTTAACTATCACGTGTCTGGGGAGGACCTCTGCACTCTAGCTGAATAGCAGAAAGACAGGGGAGCCTGTAGAGACTCAGCTGCAGTTTCCTTCTCCCTCTAGGTAGGGCCATATTCGTTCTGCATCACTGTTCTGGAAGCGTGTAGCCAGGAACCTGCAGAGTAGCTAGCATTATTGTTCAGGTCTGCTCTGTCAGGAAAACTTCCATAGGTCATGAAAGATTGAAAACAAGCAACTCTTGTAATTGTAACCTGGAGCTGGTTCTCCCAACACTCAGAGCACATAATCTTCTCTGAGTTTGCTCAGGCTTAAGAAAGCCTTTCTTGTCAGCCCACATGGAACAGACATGATTTAAGGCTTGGTTTTGGTACAGCAACAGGAGAAGGAAGTCAAAACCTCATGGAATTCCCAAGAAGCCCCTTACTTGCAGTCTTTTTCTCCAGATGTTTTCCCACCCTGATGCCTTTTAAGGATGAGGATGAGCTTTGAAATAAAGTGCACCATTTGCATTTCTCCCTAATATGGGCTAGTTCTACTTCTAGTAAGACTAACATCACAGAACAAGACAGATGGGACTTAAAAAAGAAATGACCCGAGCACAAGAAATCGGGACAGAAATTCTGGCTTGTTGTAAACCATTCCAGAAAGTGGAAACCCCTGGTGCAGTGGTGTCAGATGGGGCAGTCTGTCCGCTTGGGACCACGCTCATCAATGACCTAAATCACCCACATGTTGTGAATAAGCTCCTATACGCTCTTCCCATTCCACCCACCCATGGGCTGAAATTTTGCCTGAGGATTTTTGAGGCCTGTTTCTATGAGGAAAGTTTGCCCCATCATATCCCTGGGCATACTTACTTAAGACTTCGTTCCATGAATTAAAATGGTTTCTCAGGAACTGATTGAAGAGCTTCCCAAAATGTGCTCAGCGCTGGGGCCCCAGGAGGCTTGCTATGCTCTAGACAATTCATAATTCAAAGGAGCTGTCTCTACTCCTATCTGCTAAATAGTCAGGGGATGGCATCAATGAACAACACTGTGGGGGAGATGTATCATCTTCTCATTTCAGTGCACACCTACTGTGTGCGTGCAGGTCCAGAAAGCCTTAACAGCCTTTTTCGGTATTTGGTGCCTGTGAAGAGGCGCAAAGACTTGGTTTGTTTTGGCTAAAATGGAATGCAGCAGTACTGCCTTCAGACTTAGACAACCAGGGTCTCTTTCTGGGGCCCCACTTTGGCTCTGCTTCAGCAGCACCCCTCTCCATGGGGTGAGGATACCTACAGCCCCTCCCCACACACTTCTTGACCACCCTCTGGCTTTCTGGGCCCCCAGGATTTACAGGGCCTGCTGTAAGGCCTATGCAGGACTCTCCTCCACCCCCACCCCAGTACTGGGGGCAGGAATGACATGGAGGCTGTGTGGTCATCGGGATGTCCCACATATATGCGTGGGAAGAGAAGGAGGGAGCAGGCTGGAGTCCCTATTTATACTCTTGCAGTCCCCACTGCCACAAATATAGGGTAGGTGTATTAGTCTGTTTCTGTTGCTTATAGCAAAATACACGGAACTGGGTATTTTATAAAGAAAATGAAATTTATTGCTTACACTTTCAAAGGCTGGGAAGTCC